CCCTCCCCCCTTTCCTCCCTCTCTCCCTCCCTCCTTTCCTCCCTCTTAAATGACACTAATTTCCCAAGGACAGCGTCTGTACTGGAGTTCATTGTCAGATTTGTAGCTCATCAAGAGAAGCTATTCAATGGTTTCATTTAATGGTTCTATTTAATGCTGTCATGCATGCTGCTTTTATTTTATTTCTACCAGGACGCTGATCTCTGTTTTAAAGGCCGTTGTCTGTTGCCAAGCTAACTTTTGAATAGCCTGGGTTAGGCCTATGTTACCACTCAGGCAGTCGACTTTTCAAAAAAGGATGAAACAACTTCTTTTTTTATAAAAGGGGAGCAGGGAGGAGAAGGAAACATTTGTTTCAGGTATAGACTTTTCCTGCAAATTATGAGTGCAGTAAGACAACTTCTTCCCTCACCGTGCTAGCTGCCAGTAGAAACGGATTTATTTACATTAATGGTGCTACTCTTAGACTGAGAGCCTTCCATTGTTTGGCTGGGCTGGTATTTAGTTAACACTTGAGTGCTGCCTCTGTGCAGCGTATCCAACTACAGAAATAACCATATTGCACATAACTGTCCATTCTCTCCCTCCTCAGCCTCCCGCTAGCTCCAGCATGTGTGTTTGGATTGTAATGTTCCATCTGTGAACTAAATATTTCTCTTAATCATACAAAATGACTTTTTTAAAAACTCAGAAGTGCATGTGTCTCTCTCTGTATAGCTTCCAGAGCTGGTAGGCAACATCAGCATTCCACAGCTGACTGGGTGAGCCAGATTTGGAAGCAGGCTAAATCCCAGAGTAGTCTGGGTCTGGATTCATAAAGATCATGCCTCTAATGGAAGGGGGACCCATTTCTCACTAGCTGTCATGGTCTGTGTCTTCAACAGGGGAGTCTGATGCATCTGCAAGAAGGTGTTGCCTCTGAAATTCCTTTGCTGGAGCAGGCATAAGTAGTAGTTCTAACATGAGCGACATATCCAAGCATGCCTACACTGCCTCACATAATCCTGTGTCAAAAAATCCAAAAGTAGCGCTGACTAAAAGCACACAGCAGCACCATGATGCACCCAGGAAAGTGGAGATAGTAATTTGAACACTGAACATGCTTAAACATAACTCTCCTCTTCCTCTTCCCTCCCCACCCCAAAAAAAGAAAAAGAGCAAGGCTCTGGTTCTGATTAATTTGAAGATCTTTAGAGCTTCCTGATTCAGACATCCTCTTTAGTATTAAAGAGTATTAATACTGGTTTAATACTGTAAAAAAATAATGTAACTTCCCCCAGCTTCTTTGTTGGAGATGGCTGACTGCTTTTCACCTGTAATTTTGATGGAGATGGAATACTGTAGAAGACAACTTGGGCAATTATTATTTTTTTTTCCCTGAAGCCAGCATGATTGTTCTGTAATGAATTAAATTTTATAATGTAAGATACTGAAGTCTTGGGGTTCTTACAGTTCTAAATACTGCTACCATGTGCACTGCCTGCAGTAGGAGGCAGAGGAAGAGAGATTTCTTAAATCCTTTATGTCCTCTGTTTATGAGCTAGGTTTCTAGCTTTTCTACCAAGATGGAACCATGAGCTGCACTCCATCCCCCATCATATTTCTGACTGTATTTCTCAGACATTCTCTTGTAGGAGTGGAAAGAAAGCAAATATTTCTCCTCTGTTTGGGTCAGGAAATTGATGTTTTAGGGGTTTTGGTGTCACTTTGTCTTTCGTCATCCCCACCTAACTACCTGCTGCCTCTTTTCATAGCTTGTTAAAGGAAAACACTGTGCAGTTAATTTAACAAACCCTTTCACAGAAGCAGAGAGGAAGCAAGCAGGACACAGCAGGGTGTGGAAAACAGAAAAGCACTGTCTTGTGATGAGTGCAGCAAAATGCTGCACTTGGAGCTATAGAGTCTGATTTTTGGGGATAGCAGTGATTCAAGTGGGGGAAAGTCATCGATCGGCATGTTGCTCTTCTGTGTGAATGGCAAATGACTACCTTCGTATTTCTTTATCAGCAAAACTTAGCCTACTGTCTTTTTTATTAGTGTGAGATTTGGGGTTTTTGTTTTGGGTTTTTTTTTGCTTTGAGCCAAATGTTCAAGGAACTGCAGCACAAACTGTATTTCCGTTCTATGTGTGGCTGAATTGTGTGGAGTGAGGGTATTGAGTAGGCAAAGCTGTGGATTTTTGGAGTCTTAACTATGCAGCTTCTAGACTTCTTACGTGTATGTATATGAGCATAATTTCTGAAGTTCTAGCCTTTCTTACTTCATTTAATTTCTGAAGTAAAATATTCTTTTAGAGCTTTGTTACACTAAAGTTACTGAAACACAACACACAATTCAACTCCAAGAGGTGTTTTCTTTGATAGCTTTGACTGCTATAGGAGCTTACTGAAAACATCTGCAAGCAGAATGGAAACTAGTTTAATATTACACTACTATTACTATAAAATATAATCTCAAAATATTTCAGGCAGGGCATAATAATAGTACCCGTGGAAGTTTTGGTTGAAGTTTTGAAAGGACAGGGCATTTGGTAGGTTTGTTCACTTGTAGGCAGGACAGAATTCCAGGTTGCGGTTTAGATTGAGGAGAACTGGTAATCAGAAGAGGGGCTTAGTCTTGGTGCAGAAGTGGCTGCACCTTAAGTCTAGGTGATGCGTATATGCTAAGGTGTTCTTATCCATGGTGGAGAACTTATATTATTTTTAGAGAAAAATTGACCTTTCTCAGCAAAAAAAATAAAATCTATGTTTATTTCTTCTGCATGTTTTTTGGGTTGGGTTTTTGGTTGGGGTTTTTTTTTTTTTTTGTTTTGGTTGTTTGTTTAATTTTTGTGTTGTTTGTTTGGGGGTTGGTTTGTTTGTTTGTTTTGGGGGGGGTTAGGAAGTGGAAACTTACATAGAAAAAAAATTTGGCTTACACAAACCTATCAGGAAGAGGGGGGGGGAAGGGTCATGTGTGTTTTGGGGTTTCTGTTTGTTTGGGTTTTGGGGTTTGTTTGTTTGTTTTTTAGGAAGTGGAAACTTCCATAGAAAAAAGCTTTAGCTTACACAAACCTATCAGGAAAGGGGGAGAGGCCAAAAAAGTCATGTGTGTTTTGGGGTTTTTGTTTGTTTTCTTTTTAATGCCTGACTATTTTGAGCTGCCTGAGTACTTTACTGATCTTGATAAACAGAAACTGAGGCTGATGAGGGGGATCCTAGATCCTTGTCTTTTAAGGCTACAGTTTCTAGTATTAAATTTTCTCATTTTTTTTAATTAAAAACCGCAGCTTTGCCTAGGAGGAGGAGGAGAATGCACATAGATGTGAGAGAGCAGAACCCTTCATGCTGATACAGGCATTCAGACGTTTTGGTGCCCAGCTCGAAACTCTTGCTAGTTGGCTTTGAAAATGTGACTTCTGGTTCCTTTGTGGCACCCTGGCTTTGACTGTTCAGTTCACACAGTGCATGTGTGTGAGAGCAGTGTATTTCTAGTGTGTTCGTTGTGTGGAGCCTTCTATTTTGCTTTGGTTTTGTTCAACTCTGGCTTAGGAACGATAGTTTTGTAACTTTACAGTGTCTCATGTAATCATGCGTGCTTCAACCTGCATGGAATGTGGCTTTCTGACCATGTGAAGTGACTAATTTTTCACAAATGTTGGGGCAGAGGGCTACATCAGAAAATACAATGCATTAAAATCTGTGAAGAAACTTCTCTAGAATCTGTAAATTCTGTACTGGCATGCCCAGAAGGTGCATAAAAGTCACAGCTCTTAACAAGATTTTTATGGGGATTGCTCAAAACCTGTTAACAGAAGGTTGAGCTCTGGTACTGCTTAAGAAGGTTTCAATGATCTCTGAACAAAAAAGGGATAAAATGTTTTCCTTCTTTGTCCCCCTTTCCATACACACAATCATTTCAAGTACAGAGATTGAATTAAGTCTTTGAAAAAAACAGAAAGCCCATACAATGCAAGCTGAATTTCAGGTATGCTTTGATTTATCTTTAGGTTCCTAGACAGAACAAATTCTATATTCTGTTACTGTTTTAAACAGAGATCCTGGAAGCTTATGAGCCTTTGTTTTTGTCTTGTATATGTCAATAAGAACTGATACAAATATTCCAGCTCTGATCATACAGCCTTATATGGACAAGGAAACTAACTAATTCAACCATGTGAGAGTTTTAGGTAATAGTGTCATGTGGTAGCATAATTGTCTTGCCTACTTGGCAATATTTTTAGATGAAGCAAGTTTGAGATTAGCTAAGGGACTTATTTTAGCATCTCTTGCAATAACTTGTTAGTAAGATGGCCTCTTGTTTCAGACAGCTGGAACTGATTGTGGAGTTCAAACATCCCCTGATGCCCTGTAGAAATGTAGATAGAAGCAGAAGTGAGATAATGGTCAAAGTATCTACAACTGGAGAAAATGCTATCCAGTGCCAGAGCAGAGAGGGCGGCGGGGCGGGAAAAAGGTTTGGGTGGGCTGTATTCAGGCACCAGGCAAACAAAAAGAACTGAGTGCTGGTAGGATCAGTTTCAAATGCAGATATCCCAGAAGTACAAGAACAGCCTATTTAAGGCTAAGGCTACTCTTTGAGACTTTGCTTCTATGCAGGAAATGTATTTGTTATTACCAAGACTGCTTGCAGTCTTTAACTTTACTTTTCTGAAGACTTCATAGTCTTAGCATTTTGATAGGTTGTCATTTAAGTTTTTGAATCAAGTTTTTTCAGGAATTGATGCTTTGAAGCAGAAATTAAATAAGATTATAGTTTACTGGGCTTGTTTGTTTGAAATGACTCAGTAAGGTTAACGACAAAGTTCTGTCCTTAAGTAGTTAATTTCATATGCGTGGCCCATCTCACTTGGTTCCTTTGTCTTTTCCCAGTTCACTGCTCCGCTATGGTGGAAACCTCTCCCTTCAGAGTGCTATGAGTGTCCGTTTCAACAGCAATGGAACCCAGCTGCTGGCACTGCGTCGGCGCCTTCCCCCGGTCCTCTATGACATCCACTGCCGGCTGCCTGTCTTCCAGTTTGACAACCAAGGGTACTTCAATTCATGTACCATGAAGAGCTGCTGTTTTGCAGGTGATCGTGATCAGGTAATAAGCAAGCAATGCTGTCCTAGGTCCCCAGAGCTTCCATGAGTGTTTGGAAACACCTCTGTAAGGCTTTTTCTTTTCTGGAGATACAACTGGAGGAGGCAGGACAGGTGTAGGCTTACCTCAGAACTGTTTTTCAATGTAGGCTCTGACAGAAGAAAAACATATACAGAATTACAGAATCCTAGTGGTTGGAAAAGACCTTCAAAGTCACCGAGTCCAACTGTAAACCTAACACCGCCAATTCCACCTCTAAACCATGTTCCTGAGCACCTCATCTACCCATCTTTTAAATACCATCAGGGAAGGTGACTCCACCACCTCCCTGGGCAGCCTGTTCCAATGCTTGACCGCCCTTTCAGTTTTTCCTGACATCCAATCTCAACCTCCCCTGGTGCAACTTGAGTCTTATTTCCTCTTGTTCTGTCTGTTGTTACCTGGGAGAAGAGACCAACACCCACCTCACTACACCCTCCTTTCAAGTAGTTGTAGAGAGTGATAAGGTCTCCCCTCAGCCTCCTTTTCTCCAGGCTAAACAACCCCAGCTCCCTCAGCTGCTCCTTGTAGGACTCATTCTCCAGACCCTTCCCCAGCTTCTTTGCCCTTCTTTGGACGCACTTCAGCACCTCAACATCTTACCTGCAGTGAGGGGCCCAAACCTGAATACAGTACTCAAACTGAACACAATACTCACAGTACACACATCCCAAAGCATGTGATCAATTTTACCTCTTCTTCAGTGTTATCTAATACTTATTTAGAAGGTGGTATTCACAAGAAAAATATTTGCAGAGGCTTTTTAGGTCCAATTAATATTGTTTTAGAACCGTGAGTAGAAAATATCTACATATGATAAAGAAGCATCTTCCTTTCTTTCAGTATTGCTACTGAGTGCAGTAGAGGGAATCCCACAAAAGATAAATATTGTGGATTTATAGAATTACTGATTCTTATTTTGAATTATTATGTTTCTCCTTTAACACTATACTACTGGATCAGGTTATAGGTCTTTATAGTTCAGTGTTCTGTAAGTGGTGATGGTGGGTGGTTAGGAAGGAATAATTTGTTACTTCACTGGGGCAGGACTCTGTCCCTACGACTAAACACAAAGAAATAGGTCACACATAAAGTGACTAACAGCAGTTTGTATGATGCTAGAGCTGGATATTGTCTTTGAACAGCTGTATTTAATAACCACTAACACTGTTTAATGACAAAAAAATGTATTTTCAAGCCACAATCAATAACTAAGATCTGAAAATTTCTTTGCTGTCATCAGTGAAATTCCTGCAGTCAGAATTTGATCGTTAATTCTATTGCTGCTGCAGGAGGCAGAGTCGAGCTTCTTTCAGATTGCAAGTAGGAAATACATTTACGTCACTGAACTTGAGCAGTTTTTCTGAGTTTTACGTAGTCTTTGGCAGAAGGAGTGTGCAAATGCAATAATGAAACCGTTGTAAAAAAAAAAAAAAAAAAGAGTGGTGTACTATAAAGAATGGGCAAAGACGTGTTGTTTAAGAAGAAAACTGCTCATGGTTTGTGGTCTGTTACTTAATCAGCCTAAAGATGACACTCTTTTCTCCTCTGGAAGTCAGAGTAAACCTGTGTGCACTGACATATAATTTAGCTTCTCATCCGTTACTGAAGATCTCATTAAAAGCCTTAGTGTCGGTCATTGTGTTTTCTAAGCCATTTTCTTACGGATATGGTATTATTTTAATGGGAAGAATATGGCTGTTCTGTATCAGATTGATGAGGTGCTTCAGAAGCTTGCATTTTTAAAAAACTTTATATTCTTTTGGCTTGACAGGCTTTCTGTTCAGATAAGTAGCAGCACATAATGCTACTAATCAGTTGGAAATCAGAGCAAAAGACATTTATGTTCCCTTATAAATGCTTCAAGAAGCCAATAGGGAAGATGAATTTTAATGGATTATTAAAGAGATGTGGAATTTGATATTTAGGTACCTGCTTGTACCCGTCCTCTAACTGGAAAGAAAAAAGATAACAGAGTCACAGAAAATGCCAATATGTGGTCCAACTGTATATGTCTGAAACTGTCCAGTAATGCTAAAATTCATCTGTTTTAAGATTGTCAATGCTATGGATAGTCCTTAGGGACTGCCTTTCATGGAGAGCCCAGTTCCAATTCCAGATGTATCTAGAAAAGAAGGTTAGAGTTAGAACCTTCTGTAAGATACATAAGATTCATTTAAAAAATGTATAATGTTTTTTCAGTTTTGCCCTTCTATACAACTTTTGCTTTTTGGTGAGTTTTGTGAGTATGAAATAATGTGTAGAAGATTTCCCCCCACAAATCAGAATTCACCAAAAAAAGAAATAAATCTGTTTCAAATTTAATCTGATTTGAACCCCCTTTCTCATTTAATGTTGCTGTCCTTTGCCTTAATAAAGAATGTCTTTCATTCAAGATCCATGCAAAGTGAGCTTCATAGAATTCCTTGCTTGTTTTTCCTTGTAGGATCAAAACTTTGTGTGGGCTAAGGCTCCTTTGAAGGGACCTAAGGATAAGAAAGTTGTGTTCAAATTATGAATAGCACTTGTGGTAGAAAGGCTTCTTCAGAAATTTTCTCATATTGTACCTCTGATTTTCTATGTCTTCAGTTTTTCTTTTCATCTTTATTAAACTGATGCCTCATTTTTTTCCTCTTTTAAGCTCTTAAATAGTTAGGTTTTAATACTTCATACAGAACCTGGTAATTTAAAAATGGGACTTCAGTGTTCGAAAACTATGTGTTGTCTTCACAGTTAGTTAATTTTGCATTTTGATTCTATATTTTAACTCTAACAAGAAAGGAATATTGTTAACTCATCAGTGCTTAAAATGTAGTTGCATTGAGCAAAAAAGTGAACTGCTGAAAGGAGGAGGCCTTTCTTATCCAGCAGAGGTGATGCAGGACCTCTTGCTGATTCAACTTCCTAACCTGAGAGAAGCATCTACTTCTTTTTCTGGGTTAGTGACTTACATTGACACTTGGGGCTCTGGCAAGCATTTGAATGCAATACAAGGAAGGGATCAGAGGGTGAGTGAGAGATGGAGTGATGGCCTTTCAGCGCTGTGAGACTAAACTCCTCACGGAACAACAGCCTTTGCTAATCTTTCTGTGAAGTTTGTCCATGAAAAACAGTTTACTCACAGGGAGTTTTTCCATGACCATCAGGGTTTAAAACCCCACAACTGTTAATATCTTAGTACTTGCCTTTGGAAGTTTGCTATAACATGGTGGTGAAAATCTACAGAGAATGTAAAAAACACCATGTTCTATAAGGAGCTGTAGGATTCTAGTATGGCAAAAATGAACAGATTCCAAGTTGCAGACACACGACTTAGGAGTTCTCTTAGAGATCACCCTTATATTTTAAGAAATTAAATACTTAAGTTCCCATAATGATCAGATATATTATTATTACTTTGTCAAGGTGTGCGTCTTAAATTAATACAAGTCCTTTGCACAAATAAAACATGGACTGCTTGTTGGGAAACAGTTTGATTGGTTTGTTTGTGGATGGCAGTTAGGCTCTATATACTGATCTTTTCTCAGTATCATTTTTTTTGGTGCCCACGGATTGTGATAGGTACTCAAAGGAGTATTCAGCTTGGATCCAGAACTCCTGACTTAGCACTCTCGAGGGGAGCCTGCTACCAGCAGGTGTGCAGTGATCTGCATGCCAGCTCATTTTATTGGAGCATCTGTGATGCAAGTAGATTGAAACCTCTTAACAAAGAATGAAATACCATTAACACTTTAAGAAACAAAACTCAGAAAGATTCACCTGTTAACCCCAATAACTTATTTTTAAGTTTAAAAGAACACATTCTGAAGTGCTTAGATGGTTCTGAGTTGTTGCAGGTTATATTGGATGTGTGGGTTGTAGCACAAGCTGTGACAAGGATCTTGAAGGATGAACAGCTTTGCTTCTTTTTGTGTACTTGCAAACTGTTGTTTCCCTCCAAAAGCATTATTGCCCTAGTCCTTGTGAACCTGTTTTGAAAAATCAGCAAACAGTATATGTAGGCATTTTTCCTGGAAGTGCCACAGTCACTTTCCTTGTTTCTCACAACTACCAAAGGTTGAGAGGCAATCTTTAACTGGTGTTTTATTTGCACCCATTTATCATGGCCTTCATTTGCTTCTCTCGGAACTGTCTTTTGTCCATGTCATGAGTGTAATGACCTCATTCACACGCTAGCGATTTTTCTTTCCTTTGTAGGAGAGCTCTGATATTGGTAGATAACTGTGTTCAAAATGGTGTGCTATTTGCATTATCTGGGAGCTCACTTGAGTCATCCAGCTGTGGAAGGGAGGAAGGATAAGATAGGCTAGATGTGTCAAGCATGGATCTCAGCTGCCCGCTCCCTCTGTTGGCAATAGAGATTTATGTGAGAGCACAGTCTATCCATCCTTCTGGTACAGGCATCCAGGCCTAGAATTTTAAAGGCAGTTTGTTTATGCACCTAACTCCCACTGGCTTTACCCTAGTGTACACAAGTGTTTACGTACAAATCATAAAATGTATGAGAATCTCAAGTTTTGTCAGGCTACTGGGCTTCCATTCTTCTTGTCAGCGTTAGAATTTGGGAAATGTTTTTTAAATACTGAATGTTTTTTAATACTAGTTGCTAGACTGCTACGGAAAGTACCTTCTTGGATCTGAGGATATGAGAAGTATTAAAGGGCCTCAGGTAACCAAATGTACTTTCAAGTGTAGGAACCTCAGAGGCCGTGGTGATGGGCAGCAGTAAAAAAGCCTCACAAAACACAAAAACCACTCCCAAACTAAAACAGACCAAAAGCTTTCCTTGCTTAAGAATTGTTGCTTGTGTCACAATGATGAATGCTATCAGCTCATTCTTTTTTTTCACTGTGCAGATAATGTGAGGCTCTATAACGCTTGTAGCTGTAAAATCAACGCTTATTGCCTGCTTTAAAAAAGGTGGGGGTGGGGGGAAATAACTTGTACCCTGTGAATCAAACAAA